GGTGAAGTCCAATCTGATGCCCGGTTTTGAGAAGTTGTGCCATGCCTGGCAAGTACACACATCTCATTAGTAAGTAATTCTGGCTATTTACAAATGAAGTAGAAATATTATTTTTTCTTTCAATGTATGTGCTGTTATTTTTTCCGTAATTGCTAGCTAAGTTGTTAAGATGTAAATAGTTATTAAGATGCTTGGATCTAACTAGTTAATAAAGGGAACTTGTAGGTATTTCTTTTGATCTAGGGGGGTGCTGTGAAAAAAATTACTGAGACACTGAAGACATCATGTCAATGGAGAAAGTTTGAAAAACCTCTGGCGTAGATATTCGCCTCACCGACCAGATCACGATTTTCTCAAATGCACAGTAAAATCAGACTGGTGCAAGGAGAAGTCAGAAGTAGTCTTTCCCTTCTGTTCTGTCTCTCCTCCGTGAGAGTGGAAAACTTTTGGCTACAAGAGACAGATAATCCTACGCACATTGTCTTAATTATAAGGAGGAGCAAGGGGATTGTGCAATGATTACTAAGCTGTGTAGTACATTCTCTTGTTTACTTCCTTAGAAGGAACTTGTCTGCTTTACCTAGGCATGCTAGCCCTCTTTCATCAAGTCTATCATCAGCACCTTTGGGATAATCCCATAGATGCAAACTAAGAAAATAACTATAAAATGTCCTTATGAGGGCTATAGAGAAATTACATGAAAAGAAAGCTATAATGCCACTTACTGCTAAATTCTCTGGATGGCTACGGCAAAGTTATCTGATTAATCTTCTTGGGTATTCAACCACTAAGTGGATTTACAATTTTGTTGCAGGTGGTTAGTAGAGAAGTGTCACCTGACTTGAGGCAAAGGGGTTGGGTAAAGTGTGTCAAATTTTTCGTTTTTCATGGAATATTCACTGACAGAAGCAGCCCTGTTTTCCCCTTCCAGATGAAAACTAAGGCTGCCAGGTTTATCAAATGAAAATTCAGAGTGCTCAGTTCCATTCAAATTTCAGATGAGCAAGAAACAACTTTTCAGTATAAGTGTGTCCCTGATACTGTATGGTGTATACTTACACTGAAAATGTACTTCTTGTTTATCTGAAATTCAAATTACTGGGTGTCCTCTGTTTAATCTAACAACTCCAATGAAAACAGATATTTGCTTGAAAACATAATTATTAATAGAATTTAAATATTATTATTTTGCAACTCCTAATGAACTAATGGATCTAGAGCAGTGATTCTTGAGGTGTGGTTCCCATCACCTGGGAACTGGTAAAAATGGAAACTCTTGGGATCCATCCCATAAGTACTATGCTAGAAATGCTGGGGGTGGGACCCCTCAAATCTCTGTTTTAATGAGCTTTCTAGGTGATTTTGACCCATAAGTTGTGGTAGGCAGAATAATCTTCCAAAGATGCCTTTGTTCTAATCTCTGGAACCTGTATTTTAGGTTACAAGGCAAAGAGGAATTAAGATTGCAGGAGAAATTTTGGTTGCTAATCAGTCAACCTTAAAATATGGGGAGTATCTTGTATTGTCTAATCACAGGGGTCCTTAAAAGAGTCATTCAGAAGAAGTGACATGGAAAGGGGACACAGAGAAATGCAATATTGCTATGAGGTCTGTGAGCCAAAGAATGTTGGTGGGCTCCAGTAGCTGAAAAAGGCAAGGAAATAAATTCTCCCCCAGAGTCTCCAGAAGTGAATGAAGCCTTGGTGACATCAGGATTTTAATCCGGTGAGATTCCTTCTAAACTACAGAACTGTGAAAGTTTTGTTAAGTCATTAAATTTGGGGTCATTTGTTACAGCAGTGATAGAAAACTAATGGAGCAATAACCATCAATGCCTGATGGTTTTATCAGCTGAAAGGCAATACTCCAACACAGTCATGGGACTGGGCTGGTGGTTAACATCAGGCCCTTCTGTGGTTATTCATGTGTATTATGTATAATATACAGAGAGAGAGTCTATGTCTTTTAAATAAAGCTTTAACTTGTTTTCAAATTTTACTGTTATATAGAAATCATCATCATCATCAGGTATACTATAGACTGAATGTTTGTGCCTTGCCAAAATTCTGATGTTGAAATCCTAACCCCTACTGTGATGAAAATAGGAGGTGAGGCTTTGGGGAGATAATTAGGTCATGATGGGGGAACCCTCAGGAATGAGATTAGTGCCCTTAAAAAAGATACCCCAGAGAGCTCCCTTGTCCTGTCTGCCATGTGAAGACACAGCAAGAAGACTTCTGTCTATGAACCAGGAAGAGGGGTCTCACCAGACTCCAAATCTACTGTTTAACTTTACCATTATTTTAAATTCTTTTAAATTTTACTTTTTGGGGGGTGGGAGGCAATTAGGTGTATTTATTTATTTTTAGAGGAGGTACTGGGGATTGAACCCAGGACCTTGTGCATGCTAAGCATGCGTCTACCACTTGAGCTATAATATACCCTCCCCCTATTTTTTTTAAAATTTATTTGTTTTTATTGATAACTTAACCATTATTAAAATTTAAATTATATGAATTTATCATTAAATCAATCGTATTAAGAACAAAAAGTTGATACTCAAACATCACTTTCTAATTATTTTGCCACATTTTACTGTCATCTATGCTTGAAGGTTATTCACATTTAACATCTCTCTGTGGTGGATATACCACGTATGGCATGCATACTACTGGTCACCTCTTCCCAACGCCATGTTCAGTGAAGTCACGTTGGTGGCTTGAAATTGACGATGGTAGGAGTACCATCCCTACGAAAAAGGGCGAATGCTGCACGTAAGTTGTGGTACGTTTACTAGCGTGTCACTCATTTCAGGGCAAGTGAACCATTTAGAGGCAAGCATGTTACAATAGCGCTTGCTACTCTAATTTCACATTCTTAATGGGTCAGTCTTGACTGATACCCAGAAACGTTTTACCTAGAAGAAAAGCATATTTTAAAAAAAATAGCACATAAGTACACCACAAGTCCACAATTACCTAAAATACAGCATTGTCAAAAATCTAGGAAGTTACAGTAACTTTTATTTCAAATCCAGCTCTTTCTTTAATACAATTTTTATTTTTAACTTGAGGGATCGTAAGTTCTGAGAAAAGGAACATTTAAGTTTCACAGGTTTTTTTTTCCCCATGAATGCTGCAAAGATTCCCTCTCAGATAAGAAATGTTCTGGCCCTGAACTGGCGACTATTTTGAGAATTCATTATTTGTAACTTGAAGAGATGTGACCTTTTTAATCTTTTCAAAGCGTTCATATTTAAACATATTTTAACTTAACTATAACATGTAAATAAGTTAAAGTTCTAATAAACTACAGATACATCCCCATTGTATATTTTTCAACGTATTTTATTGTTTTCAATGTATTCTATATTAATTGCCATGCTATGACTCCAGTTTTTTGTCCTCTTTCTATTCAATTGTTATAAAATTGTGATAAATTATTATATACAATTTACCCAGAATGCTTGCTCTGAGTATTCAGATATTGAGATTTCAAGGTTTTACACCCAGAGATTCTGCTTCAGAAAGTGGAACCAGTTAACAGAAGCTACAAATATGGACATTCTTGTGAGTGTGGAGATAAAATAATCCTCAATCTAGGAAAATAATAGAAAATAAGACCCAGTCCACTATCATCACATCTATCTCCAGTTGGGAAGCTGGAGAACCAAAATAGAAAGGAATTTAACATCCTTCATCCATTCACTAAATGTATATTTAACACGTACTAGGTGACATCCAGTTCTAGGGGCTGGGATTACAATGTTGAGGAAGAAAAAAGAAATCTCTGTATATCGAAAAATATTTAGAAACATTACCCAAGATTAAGCTGAAGATAAAAACATGTGAACATAAGAATACAGGTGTCTTAGGTCACTGCTGGAGAGGTACCAGCGAGGGTGTGGGAGGAGAGAGGGAGGCTATAGGATTGAGAAAGGGGACAGAACAAGGGTATAGAGCAAGTGAAGCCAGATCAGCCTAGGTAGGTCACAGTGTTACATCCGTTCATTCATTGCCCAGGACAAGCTGGGGTTCTCTGATACGCAGGCTGACTTTCTACTTAGAAACCTGAGAGATTCCAAGGGGCCCTGCATGTGTGGTTATGCAGGCTGGACCTGGCTCAGCTTCAGGCAGCTCCAGCTACCTAGGCGTGTGACAATGGCACCTTACTTGTGTCATGTGGCAGCTCTGCTCCAAGACACGTTCCAGCAGCTCACCAGCCCCAGCACTGGGAGATTATCTCTTCTTTCAGGGATCTATTCTAACCTAGACAACTCTTTAAATCTTGCCATCTGACCTGGAGAATGATTTATATCAAGACCATATAGTTTCTTTTAGCTCTGGCACTCAACAGGGCTGTAATTCTGACAGCATTTGAACAACTTGGGGATTTGGAAGAAGAATAAAATGAATGCCACTCATTCTTTAAGGCTCAAGTCTCACGTCTCCCTGACACCTCCTCGTCCCCTGATCACTGCCTTCTCTAAACTCCTCTAACAATTATGGTTGGAACTCTCCCAGGCTCAGATAAGAACAAAGTGCACTCTCAGGAAGAGGCCTGTTGAGAATGAAAAGGATGCTTAAAAAATGTCAGATTGGAGAACTATGAAAACCAACACAGGGCGTGGCCAGCAGACCAAAGTGCACATTCCTGGTGAGTATGGTGATCTCAGCCTTGGGAAGAAGAGCTGTCACTATGTAAGAAGGTAAGTGATAAAGGCAGAACACACCCAGAAGAGGACGGTTGTTCTACAGGTGGCTTTCTACTGCAGGTTCCAGCTGTTATTCCAATCATAGTGCTATCATGGGGTGTGGGGTTAGGCTGGGAACAGCACTGAGCTCTGTAGGGAAGAGCACTGGTAAGAGACGTGCAGATAGGCAGCGCTGAGACACAAGCATGCACACACAGTCACACACAAACGTTTGTACTAATGAACACACAATGTAACTTGAAGTTGCCTCCGTATGGCTCACAGGTTGGAGTTGCGGGGTGGGGGGGTTATTGTATTTTTCTGCTTGAAAAGCAATGTTTTATTTTGTCATTGAAACCATCCTCTCCTTTGTCATAAGACACTTGCAACTTAAGAGGTTTAAAGTATCACTGGAGTTTATGCTTTTATTTTTGTATTTAATTTTTAACTTCTATTTTTATTTGCATTTTAATTCAAATTTAATATACGTTAACTTTTTTGATTCAAAAAATCATTCCAAGGACAGGTAAGACTTGAATCCCTAAATAATTGAAATAGCTTCAGTAACAAGGAACTATTTCTTATTCGTTTCCTTACTTACGTGAATTTGCAGCCCCCACCAAAGAAGGTTAAAATAAGAAAAAGGGTTTACTATACTCTTTATTTGTTTTAGAGGAAAGAATTGATCCAGATGACAGAAACCTCCACCAGACGGAGCAGCCAGCACAAAGAGTCTGTGTGGCGGTGCATTCGGCTCGCTAGATAAAGAAAGGAAGTGACAGGAAATCAGAGAGTTTATTTTAACGATCCTGCCCTGTCTTCCATCATAAGGTAAACAACCATCCCCTTTGCTAGCCAGAAGGCACGGTTTTCCATGGCCTCATGAGGCCGCAGATGGGAGCCGTACTAAACAGCCATTGCTGGCAGAAGATAAGGAAGAAAGAAAGTGTCCATATGAGATTTATTTATTTTATCAAAGGCTGCAACTGGGGGGCGGGGGGACTGTAAACGCCATACACTTTATTCTGGCCAGGCTGTCAAGTTCAAAGCAGAAGTCCATGGAGAAGAGTCTGGAATCTTCTCACCACCATTAAACAAAGCCCCGTCAAGTTAAGCTGAACTTCTCTAGTGTCTGTGAAATGAAACACACACACTGTAGGTTGCGACTCTCCTGGCAGGTAGGTGTTGTTAAGAAAGCCATTGCTTTTTGAGAGAGTTACCAGCTGCCAAGGAGGAAAAGACGCGGAGTGCCCAGTGGACAAAGACTGGAGTTTGTGTTAACCCTTGGCCCATGGTATTCCTGGCTTTTTTTGCCTTACTCATTTCGGGATATTTTAAGAAAGAGGACTGTGTTTTCTGACTGTAAATACGAGTGCAGCAGGTTGAACCAGGATACACCAAATATTTTTCTAACTGAGGGAGACCAATGTAGAATTTAGATGCCAACAAGATGACTAAACAGCCGTTGGGCTCATATTTACTCATTTAGGGCTGATGGGAGTGGAAAGAAACAGCTGGTGTGAGCTATTTCTATTGAGAAGCAACAAGATACAGCATGCTGTTGGGGATTATTTTAAACCTGAGGTATATGATTGTCACGGCTCTTTTGCAGAGCCCTCAGACCCCGTGAGCTTCTCTGTCAATGTAGATACACATACACAAAGAAGTTTTAACTGGATCTCATGGGTGAATTTTTTTTTTCATAAAACAAAAACAAACCAAGAAACCCCACAAAAGTCACATTGTGTCATATTAGCCCTTCACGATGACGAGATGAACTGCCCGTTAATAATACAGCGATGTCTATTTTTCATGTGTGATGTAGAACGTCTGAGCAGCCCTAACTTTTTTCCACTAGCAGTTGGTAACCACCTCACAAAAGCCTCCCCAGGACTGAATTCTTCAGGACATTTACTTTTCCATTACTAACACTTCCACTGCGCCCTCCAGCTCCAGCTCAGTAGTCTCCCTCCTACCAAGGAAATACCTAACTTGGATTTTCTGGAGAAGGGTTTCAGGCAGTGATTTATCTGTATTCCATTTAACATCCGAGGAAACTCAATGCAAAAATGCAACTCTAAGGAAAGTTCTCTGTTTTCATAGACTTTTAGAGCTGAAAGTAAATTGTGGAGCGCTTCAAGGTCAGTATCCTTTTTCAGAGATATATTCTCAATCCTGGCTAACTGTCTAGCACGCAGTAAATGCTCACTGAATGTAAGTTGGCTGATACTGTTGACTGTTACTTAGACCCTCAGAGCCTTTGTTTCCAATATTGGTTCTCATTATTCAAGATTCTGGCTGTAGATAGGAAGGGGCATTGTATGGGTACTGAGTGGAATAGGCATCAAATAAATATTTTGCAAACTTTGCTTCATTTTTCTTTGCTAAATCCCTGCTAGTTGTCTTTTGTTGCTGTCGTTTTGGTAGTTATTCAGTTTTGTTTGTTTGTTTTGCGTCATCTGGTTTTTCTTTTCTCCTCCAAAAGAATAGCATAAAAATACACTAGATGTCTTCTCTTAACTTTTTACATCCTGATGCCAATCTTCCTCCATTGCCAACACATACACACACACGCACGCGCGCGTGTGTATGCACAGATCTGACACTCCTATAAGGAACTTCTCTCTCTCAGGACCTCAGTCATCCTCAGAAATCCAATCATCTGCTTTTATCATCTACTACATTCCCCTCAAAGGACAATTTGCTTTTTAAGGCAACTCTTCAAAGCTGAAAAAGTTTTTAGTCTTTCTGTTCTCACTCCCCAAAGGTCTTTAACGATGATATTTCAGTCCTGTGCTTGAAGCTAGTTTTAAGAAGGCCCTTTCCAACCACTTTTATGTACAACCTCAGAGTGCATTTAAGTGATTTGACCGAAGTCTCAAATAAATTAGTTCTAAGAATAAGAGAGGATACAGGTTTTTCTGAATCCCTGTTCAGTGTACTTTTCATTATGCCCAGACGAAGTCCTCCATCCACGAGACCTAACATTCCCATAGGAATAAATAAATGGCGATATTATCAAAAATAATCACATTGTAAGATGATTTCTCTAGTGTGAAAACTATCTATCATGTTGCTCAATGAAATAAAATGATTCCAAGTCACAAAGCATAAGCTGTTCCCAGAAGGGATTAGCGGGTACCGGGATAAATGATGCAACCTCAGATAAATGGTAAAACAAACATGAGATTGATTACAGGGCCAAGGAAACACTAGAATGATGGTAACCTGAGAATTTCTAATGGATTAGAGCTTAATGAGAGCTTAAGCAACTATGATGTCAAAAAAAAAAAAAGAATTCCACTTTCCCACCAAGTACACCTGCTTTCCCATAAATAACATCACTGCTTACATGGTGCCTGTTGTAAGGAATGTCATTTCCTTTTTTCCCTTTCTATAGCCTGAATCCTGTCTTTCCTTCAAGATTTTATCCTATGCTATGAAGCTTTCTCTGAGCATCTTGGCTCCACAATTATCTCTCCATACTCTGAAACTCGGTCTCTGCTTTGACTTTGCTAAAAATCTTTTTTTTCCAAAAAAAAATTCTATGTTTTATTCTCCTGACAAAAACTCCTGTTCCTTCCACATATTTGCTTTTTCCAAATAGTTTAATACAGCTCAATTTGTTTCTGATAATGAACTGACTCCAGGGTCAGGGAGTAAAGACACATAAGAGTTAAAGAAGCATTGGGCATTCAGGATGTGTCTCAGAGGTGAGGGACCTGCATTTATGGTCTGGTTTCCCTTTGCATTTCTCATCCTTATTTGTAGAAAGTCATCCATGACAGTGAGTGCTCTGTCTGGCATTCTTGAGTAATCCAAGAACTTATTTTACCACAGGGGCAAAGAGTTGTTACACATTTAGATGTCAGCCAATAGATGTCAGTCAAAACTAGAAAGCAAAGTATTGTTTACAGTTATAATATTTAATGAGTTTGAAATTTGAATACATGGCTGGGAAATGGATTTTTCCCCCTAAATTTTAAACTTACTTTTTAGAGGAATAATGCATTACCTTAAAAAAAAAAAAACCTCATGTATCAGAATGAGCAAACTCTGGAACACTGATGACATCAAGCACTGGCAAGGATGTGGAGTAACAGGAACTCTCATTCTTTGCAGGTGGAACTCAAAATGGTATAGCCACTTGGAAAGACAGTTTGGTGTTTTCTTACAATTCTAAAAATACTCTTGCCATATCATTCAGCAATCAGACTTCTTGGCATTAACTCACAGGAATTGAAATTTTACATCTCTACATAAAAAACTGTACATGGATATTCATAGAAGTTTTATTCATAATTGCCAAAACTTAGAAGAACCAAGATACCCTTCAGTAGGTGAATAGATAAATAAACTGGGGAGCATCCAGACGATGGAATGTTTAGCACTAAAAAGAAATGACCTATCAAGACAGAAAAAGATACAGAGGAACCTTAAATGCATATTACTAAGTTGAAAGTCTCCAATCTGACGAGGCTACATGCTGGATGATTCCAACTATATGACATTTCGGAAAAGGCAAAACTATGGAGACAGCACAAAGATTAGCAGTTGCCAGGAGTTAAGGTGGGGAAGGATGAACAGGTAGAACACAGAGGATTTGGGGGAAGTGAAACTCTTCCGTATGGTACTACAAGGGTTGATACTGTCCTCATACGTTTATCCAAACTCATAAAATGCACAGCACCAAGAGTGATCTGTAACGTAAACTATAATCTTAGGGTTATGATGATGTGTCAGTATTGGTTCATCAATTGTAACAAATGTACTACTCTTGTAGGAGATGTTGATAATGGCAAAGACTATGTGGGAGACAGGAAGTACATAGAAAATCTATCTTTCCCTTATTTTGGCTGTGAAACATAAACTTCTCTAAAAAAATTATCAATTTTTAAAAGAGACATACAAATCTTAAAACTTAGTTACATTAATATACCTGCTCAAATATTTAGGGGAAATGTACTGATGTCTGCAACTAACTTTGAAATGCATCACATAAATAGGATGGATTGCTGGATGGATAGATGGACAGCTATGTGATATAGCAAGAACAGCACAATACTAATTATTGAAGCTAAGAAGAAGGTTTATGGATGTTCACTGAAAAAATCTTTCAATTTTTCAGAATGTTCAAAAATACAATCAATGTTGAGAAAAAAATCTAGTTATGATGTAAAAAGGAAATAAAATCAGATGCTCCCTTATTTTATCCACTGATCAGTCTATAAGCAAACTCTAATCTGTCAATAAAACCCATGTGTGTGCGTGTTATACTGTGAATCTGAAAAAAAATAAAGGTCCATTTGTTAGCGAAACTCCCTAATATGGACCTGATTCAAAGGACACATTGATTTATCAGACTAAAATGCATTTATCTCACTTGTAGTCTGCCTTGTCTATACATAGTGAAGGAAATTCCTGTCTAAATGCAGCCAGGGCACATTTTAGAAATAGTAATTCGTCTGATGCTTAAATAAAAACATTTGATGTAAAAACGTTTATTTTTTTAAATAAATGCAATAGATACTATTTATGAAAAAATTAGATGATATAGGAAAAGTAAAAAGTTTTAAAATACATATTTTTGGTTTTTTCCATGTATACTTTTTTATTTTCTTAATTTCTTCATATAGTTGACCTTGCTTATTTTTAATAATATTTACTTATTTATTATTACAAAAGCAATATATAGTAATTATAGTATTTTAGAGACTACCAAAAAAACACCACGGGGGAGTAAATGTCAGCTACGCCTCCATGACTCACACGCAACCATTTATACATTTATTTTTTAATGGAAAACCAGACAAAGCTATAAAAATTGCGTAATGCAAATCAGACTTGATGAAAAATAATTAAGAAAAACATTCTCAGTTTCACATTTCCCCGGATCTAGTCTGTCTAGACTAAGGTACTCCTCCCTGAGCAATACTGAGAACCTAATCTCAGAAGAGGCAGCATACTGCTTTTACTGTATTTCATTCATTAAACGCACATCACTAGGTTCAGCCCACACTCAGAGAGAGAAGGTTCCACAAGACTACAATTGCCAGGAAACAGGAACTCGAGGATGTCATATCAGATGCTGTCTACAATAGAGTATGGTCTTTTACGTCTGGCCTTTTTCACTCAGCGTAATTCTTCTTAAAGATACATCCGTGTTGTTACTCTACATGTCGGGCACTTTGCTTATCCATTTACCTCCTGATTGATATTTGAATTGTTTACTGTTTAGGGCTTGCTGTAGACTGAATGTTTGTGTCTCTTTCCCAGATTCACATGTTGAAATCATAATCCCTGATGTGATGATATTTGGCAAGGGGGCCTTGGGAAGATAACTAGGTCATGAGGGCTTCGCCCTCAAGGAATTAGTGCCTTTATACAGAGAGACAGAAAAGAACTTGCTTTTTTTCTCTGTAGGAATACCTCTTCACTATGTGAAGACATAACAAGAAGATAGCCGTCTGCAAGCTAGACCCTCACCAGAACCCACGCAGGGTGGCACGCTGATTTCAACTTCCCAACCCCTAGAACTGTGAGAAGTAAATTTCTGTTGTTTAAGACCCCGAGTCTATGCTGTGTTTGTTATAGCCACCTGAACTGACTGAGGGGACAGAGCCCTCAGGGATGAGGCTGAAATGAACGTTCATGAACAAGACTGTGTGGACAAAAGCCTCCACTTCTCCTGAGTAACAGCTCGGGAGTCGTATTACTGGGACATACAGTAAATGTTCTTTTAACTTTAAAAGAAATGTCAAAAGTTAATTCCAAAGTTATTCTGCTATTCAGCATTCCCACCAGGTTTCCTTTTGCTCTGCATTTCCATCAACGCTTGGTATTATCAGTCTTCTAAATTTTAACTACTCTAAGGGTGAACAGTATTATCTCACTATGTTTTAATTAGCATTTTCTTAATGACTAATAATATTTTTGTATCCTTGTTGGCCATGTGTTTCTCCTGTCAAATATCTATTCAAACCTTTTGCCCATTCGGTCAATAGGATTGTTTGTTTCTGTTTTTGTTTTTTCTTCATGTTGTTGAGTTGTTATAGGACACTGTATCTTCCGGTTAAAGGTTCTTTGTAAGATGTAAATATTGTGAATGTTTTCTCCTAGCCAGGGGCTTACCTTTTCATTCTGAAGAGTTTGAACAACATAAAATTTTAATTACGATGAGAATTTCATCAAATTTATTTTTTCTCAATGAAGGTGCTGAGAATTGAACCCAGGACCTCCTGCATACTAAGCATGGGCTCTAAAATTGAACAATACCCCCACCCCCCAAATTTATCATTTTTAATTGTCTGTTCTCTTTGATAATCTAAGAAATATTTGCCTGTATCAGTTCACAAAGATTTTCTCAAATTTTCTTCTGGAAGATTTATAAATTTGACTTTTGTATTTGTTTCTGAATCAATTTGGAACTAATTTTATATGATATGAGATGAGATAAGGATCATGGTTTAATCTTTCCACAGGGATATTCAGTTGTTCAACATCGTTTGTTAAAATGACTATTCTTTGCCTGTGGAATTATCTTGCCGGTTTTGTCAACAGTTAATTGACCACGAGTTTATAAGTATATTTCTGGATTCTCCATTGATCTATTTATCTATATTCTCATCAATTCCTTGGTACCTTGATTACTTACAGTTTCTCTTGAACTCAAGCAACAATGTCATTCAACTTATTTCTTCCATTCAGCACCTTTGACTGTCCACAAAATTTAGGTATCAGTTTGTCTATTGCAGCAAAAAAAGAAAGTTTGCTGTGATTTTTACTGCAATTGTGTTGAATTTATAGGTTAATTTGGAGAGAACTAGTGTCTTATCAATACAGAATCTTCCAGTCTATGAATGTACTGTCACCATTTCGGACTTTTTTCCTGAGTTTTCCTTCAACTTAGGTTTTATAGACATACTATTTTTCTAATATTATTTTTATTTATCCTCAACATATAAGATCGTAAAGATACATGTATGTGAGACATTTTTAAAAATTAGTTTCTCTTGAAATGTGATGACCTTTTTCAAACTACTGACTCATGAAATTTTTCTTCAGTTGTGTCATTGACTATTGCATCTCATCCAAGATCATTCTATTATCTTAAGTGGTGATAATTGTAATTCTTAGACTGGATCTATATTCGATGTCTTTTATGACGATCATCTTCACCCTTACTATTTTCATCTTTTTTTGTCGTTAGTTTTTTTCTTTTTCTTTCATGAGATTTCTCACATTTGTCCTTCTCATCATTGATTTATCCTTCTCAGAACCTCTCTGACCAAATAAAGCTTCCCAATGTCTGTTTCAGTCTCTAGTGTTTCTATTGTGTGTTTGAATGTAAGTATCTTTATTTTATTTGCATATTCCACCTTGTTCCTTTATTATCAAAGTGTGACATCTTTTTTCTCATTCTCTTACTTCTTTCTCTCAAATATTATTTCTGTAGAAATTTTTGCTCCTATTTCATGAAGAATTTCTCACACCCTGTTTCAAGATTTTATTTTAAAGTTTCGTTTTACACTCTATATAAAATATACTTTAGATGTAGGCCTTTCTTCTGAATCATTAAAATAGTATGCTTCTTCCCTTTCCCTGTATTTATTGGCCCCATGGTTTCTGATGTTGGAAGTGATTTTTATTTTTTTATTTTGTTTTTTTTATTAATTTTGAAAGAAGGAGAGATCTACCCAGGCGTGGTATCTGCCAGCAGATCTCTGTGTGAATTGCTTTTGGCTTCTCTCACTGCCCATTTGGCTGTTAGTTCATTCTTGTGTTCAGATTAATAGCTGGGGTGTAGAGGAGGGCAAAGGGGACGGTTTGATAGGTTTTATATTTGACCTCGTTTCCAGGCATGAATTCATCTGCTTTAACTCTGCTGACTTGAAATGAGATTTTCTCTAATCCCTAATGCCTGATTCTTTATCACTCTGCCTTCACTCTTTAGTATGTTATCTTAACAAATGGGATCGTCCCATTTCTGCATTGTCCTGTTCCCTGCCAGCTAACTTCCAAGGTTGCTTTATTACGGAGACATAACTCCCAGGATTCGGTGCTCACTGCTTTGCATAAAAGGAAGATAAGGATGGTATATGTCTACGGGTCTGTGTTGGGGGTAGGTTGGGGGTATAGAGAAATATAAAGAAAACGCTCTAACCCCAAAATATAGGACTGAACATTAGAGGAGCAACTGCCTGCTTTTTCTTGTTCATAATCGTTTAAACAGAATTTGATGTCAGGTCTCTTTGACATCAATGTTCAAGTTCAGTACAGTAGGTACTGCTTCTAGGAGCCAATCTTTTTTTTTTAAAGGTATAATCAGAAACTCTTCTGGCCCAGATACATAAAAGAGAAAGACATTCCTGGCCCTTCAAGACACCAACATCCACATGCAAAATAAGAAAACACCTTGTGTGGTAAATTTTAGAGTAGAGTTAAAGTAAAGGATTAGGTTTTTTAATACAAGTATTAGATGATCCATCCCCATAATACATTAAACTCCTCTTGGTACAGTACGCTGTAACGAAATGGGTGTTTGGGATAAACAAGAGCTGCAGTACATTAGGTGTGGTCCAATTCATGTCCAGACAGCAGGAGTATCACTCCCTTTGGTCTGGACACTACAGTCCTGTTAATTCAGCCCCAGATCAAATTATCCTCTTGGCAGCCCCGACACACTGATGACTCATGCTGGGCTGGAAGTCAACGAAAATCGCTAATCCTTCTCACACGTGCAGCTGTTTAGTTCCATCTCCCCCATCCTGGCCTGGTGCAGGGCTTCTCAGAGCCTGAATGCTGTGTTTTCATGTTCCCTAAAATCGTCTCATTTAGAAGTGTAGAAGTTTCACACACTGCATAATCACCATGGCAGGGATGGAACAAGCTTAAACTGTTATTAATTTGCTATATAAGGCAAAAGGACTACGTAAATTAGAGAGAGATGCAGAAAATTAGGTTTTCCTAATTAAGTTTCCCCCCAGCTTCTCATGTCTAATAAAACAACGGTTTTCTTCTGTCTTCTTCCTGAACAAAAAGATTCTATCAATTCTCTGCATCTGTATTTTCTCTGTAAAGCTTCCAGTGATGGAACTTTGGGGAATTCTTAGACCCAGGCAGAAAGGCACTCTGTGTCCTGCAGGCTGGTCACCTGCTCCACCTCAAATGTAATTTGCCCTCTTCTCCCAAAATGCCTGAGCCACACTAAGGGGGAACTAACATTTTCTGAGTATCTGCTATATTTATTTAGGTTTAGACATTTTGTTTATATATGATATTTATATCATCATCATGACCATGTGAGTTATACACAACAACCTTGTAAGTTTTACACGGCGCAGTTAGAGGTACCTGGAGAATAAGGACGTTGTCCTAAGTTACACAGACTATAAATGAAGGAGGTGGGAGTTGACTGTCAAATTATCTGGATTTAAGGCTCAGTTTATTCAACAAATCATATAAACAGCTCGAGGCAATGCACAGAAAGCAGTGGTCTCTAGGAGAAAAGCTCTAGGGTGGAAAAAGTGAAAGGACATTTACTCTGCAGGGAAGATTAATGAGGGAGTGTGCTTACTCTGGTCTTAGTTTGTAAAGCAATGCCAAGCTTGTAATAGGTACTCAATAAATAAATTGGCCGGGAAATGGGCGGGTATTTTAAATTTGGCTTATCAAACCAGTAACTTCTAATTAATTGGCAGAAATGTATTAAGTTCTTGCTTTAGATTCAGTACCCCCTGAAGTATCATGACATATGGGGTAAGACGATGTGATTTGTGTGAAACCCAATCGGCATGACCAATAGTCTCCCATTTAATCAAGTAGCAAAATATGTGACACTGATTGTCGATGCTGTGGGTATTTAGAGCTGTGCAATGGAAGAAGGAGTTTTGGGGAAGGGATCCTGGGGCACGTAGTGCTCATGTGATGTGAGTTTTTGAAGGTTAGTGCATTTTGTAAAAGGAAAACACCAAGAGGAAAGGAGGCATTGGGAGGAAGGGAAAACAGAGACATAGGAGTAACAGGAAATGATTATAAGTTAGGGCGAGGTTAAGTGCTGTAACAAACAAACAGAAATGTACAATGTATGGAGGCACTTACTGGAAGCTTTTTATATTTCCATTCATATTCCATTGACCAGAACTCAAATGTGTGATCATACATAACAGCACTGGAGGTTGGGAAATGTTGTCTGTCTGTGTACCCAGAAGTGTTCTGGTTAATAACCAGCTAGTCTCTGCAACAGAAATGAACTAATTTGGGGGGAAAATAATACACACATCTAGAGCTGAAGATTGAGACCTGACCTCTTTGTGCTTCAGTTTTCGTAACTGTAAGATGGAGCTAAAACTCTTGAAAGCATGCTCATAAGCTTGATTTTAGGAGGAGCAAATGAGAGGACTAACATAAAATTTCTTTGAAAATGTCAATGAGTCCTAGAAATTTTCCTCATTTAGGGGTTGGTGTCTCTTCTCAGATGCCAGGAAATTGTTATGCTGTAGCCACATTTCTTTGTAGCTACCCAAAGAGGGAGAGAACACAGCATTACATTTAAGAATCAGTTGCTTCAAGGAGTTTGGGCTGAGAAAAATAGGAAATTATGCTTTTAAGACTGTTCCCCGTGGATCCAAGAATTTGCCAGCCATATGTTGGATACTAATTAAATATTAGTGGAATTAATGAATACTGCCTTATTCACTTAGTACCCAATACTGAACTGGTCCATCACCACAAAAATCTCCTCAAATCACCCCTCTATAGTCAAACTCACTCCCCACCTCCTACTATGCACCTGTCAACCACTATTTTGGTCTTTGTCATTATAATTTTGTCACTTGGAGAATGTTATATAAATGGAATAATATAACATACGACCTTTCGAGAATGGCTTTTTGAATACTCAACATAATTCCATAGAAATCCAAGATACTATGTATATCAATAATTTATCAATTATGTGGAATTTAAAAAAGAAAAAAGCAGACACTAATGAACTCATCTACAAAACAGAAACAGACTCACAGACAGTAAACAAACTTATGGTTACCTGGGGGAAAAGGGGATGGGAAGGGATAAATTTGGGAATGCAAGATTTGCAAATATTAACTACTATATATAAAAATAGATAAAAAATAAATTTCTTTTGTATAGCACAGGGAACTATATTCAGTACCCTGTAATAACCTTTAATGAAAAAGGTTACTACATTTTAATGAAAAATGAAAATGAA